CTGCGAGCAGGGATGCCATCATCATCATCCTTGCCATCTTGTGTCGCAGTGACCCCTAGCCCGGGCAGAGGGCTGCTGGTTCCCGTAATGGGGATGCCACCATCCTCACTGCCAACAGTGGCACTGGCCTGGGTGGTTTCTTGCTCCCCCACATGGATGTTGGCCCTCCCAATGAAGATGTTGACCTCGTCGTCCTTGTCTGGAGAGATCTGAGTGAAGGTGGTGGCCCTCACTGTGCTGCCCACTTTCCCATGGGTGACGGTGACACTGTCGGAGTCAGGGATGTAAGCGTATTCATCCACACCTTCGGCATCAACTTGGACGTCCTCCATCTTCGTGACGGAGTTGAGAGCAGCACCTCCCATCCCTGTGCCCCGCATGACACTCTCCTGCCCTTGGCCAGGGGTAGTGGCCTCGCCGCTGCCCTCATCCCTGGCCCCTCCAGTGGTGGGGTCCCTTTCCCTCCCAGCTGTCATGACCCCCTCGACTGGAACCCCCCCAGGGGCACCATCATCCCTGTCCTCACTCCCGACACGAGACCTGTTCCCCGCCGCAGCCTCGCTGGGGTGTCTGCCCTGCGGGAGAATGGAAACACCACCATTGACTTCAACCACCAAATCCAGGTCGCCACTGCCCTCCGAGCTGGCTGGAGTAGGACTTGCGACGCCGACACCACCGCGTGCTCGCGTGCTGGTGTCCTGGCGAGGACTGTGAGCATCCTCGCCAATGCCTGGGGCGCTGCGGTTTTCGGGCTTGAGGCTGGTCCCGTTCTCCATCGCATCAGTGCTGCCATTGTCATCTTGCTCTGGGGCCACCCCATACTCTGTTGGCCTCTGCCTGGCATTGTCCTCGCCCAGCCGGTGGCCAGGGACGGTCCTCTGGCTGTCGGCCTCTTCCTTCTGTGCAGTACACACAAGGGAGAAGTCAGGGCCAGCCCTGGCACCCGCCAGCTGCCTGGGGTGCCGCAGCCAAGCCAGGGTCCTGCCGAGGCCACCTCCTTACCTTTATCTGCGTCTGGTTCCTCCGCGTTGAAAACGAGTAGACATATTTGAAAACATAGAAGCCATGCTTGGCATTGCAGCCTTTCAGCAGTATCTGGTGAGGAAGAAAATAACCCAAACCCACAATTTTCTTATTAAATGTGACAGCAGAAGCTTCCCTTTCTGTGCCTGGCACTGCAGCAGGGTCCCACCATCACCCTCTGGGGCACCAGGGCAGGCGGTAGCTCCCACCACCTCGTGGCCTCCAGCATGGGCAGAGGCTTGGGCAGGATGTGTGTGCTTGCCTGCTGGGCTCCAGGGTTTGGTTTTCCCTGGGGCTCATTTTCTGCCTTCGCTTGCTTTCAGGAGCTGTGGGGGGTTTTTTTGCAAGGTAGCTTATGGCTTGAATAAACACCTTGATTGATGGTCCCATCAGACATGGGACCGTTGGCGACCAAAGTGCTGAGGGACAGCAGCTGGCTTCCAAGAGGCAAACCCAGGCATTTTCTGCCACACTACTCATCTGAATTTTGCTACTGATGCATTTTACATTAATACACTTTGAAAGAAAACCTGTAGCGGCTGGGGCCTGGGACTTTTAGAACCTCACCTGTGGGCGGCTGGGTCCTGGGACTTTTAGAACCTCACCTGTGGGTACACCAAGCATTTGTGCACAGGGGCTGGGCAGGGGCACCAGTGGGAGGAAGCCCTTCCCTCGCCTGAGAACATCACACCTTTCCCCTCCCCTGCTCTTTGTAAGGGCAGCTCAGATGAGAGGGGACTGCCAGTCTCTTTTTGTGTGGCTCCCTGGAGCCGCCCTCCAAAAGTGTCTTTTTCTCCCCACACCCCCCGGTTCAGGGCACCCCACAGGGTCCAGATGGGGCAGGGGAAGACGTACCCGGTGCTGTCCCACACAGTTCCCGGCAGATCTCCCAAGCAGCGGCGGCGGCGGCACCTGCGGGCAGCAAAACACAAGTGAGAGCCGAGGTGTCAAACACTGCCCCGGCATCCAGGCACTGCCAACACCCGCTGCGGGACGGCCGCCCTGCCCAGCGTGATGGGCACGCCACCGTGTCCAGGAAGGGTGGGAAAACTGTGTTGACAAGCCAGGGCACTACCTGGGGTGCCAGCTTAAAGCCAGCAGTAGTAGCAAAGGTCAAAACCCCATTTCCAGGGTCTGAAAAGTATTGCAAATTCTGCTACAGCATGCTTGCATTGCACGCTACTTTTAATAGGATATGGCTGGTCTGCAGATAACCTTTTACTAGATTCTGCTGCAGAGTATTTTTATTGCAGAGCAGTTTTAATAGACGGCACCACTGCTCACACCACAATGCTCCAACTTACAGCTGGGATCTGACTGCGATGGCAGCCTGGAGCTGGTTAACTGGTGGTGATTCCCAGTGTTTACTGGGCAACTGAGCAGCAACTTCTGTGCCCTCACAGCCAGGTTTCTATACATGCTTGGAAGCTTCTGGCTTCCCCTAATTATCCTGGCATCCTTTGGGATGTATTAGCCACTGCACCCCTCAAGGATGGGGGACCTGGAGGTGGGAGCATCCTGTGAGCCCCACCAAGCCATTTTGGGGCATTCCCTATGTACCAGAGCGGGAGATGGCCCCATGGAGGGGAGAACCCTCCGGTCTCAGCAAAATCAGCCACTGAAGAACCCCAAGCCCAGCCGAAAGGGGCAGAAACATATCACAGAGTATTAAAAATTCCTGGGTTATTCCATTGTTTGTGAACAATGTCAAAGGCTGGATTACAGCCCTGGTTACACAGCAGAGTATTAACCAGCTCTCTTCTGTGCCCTTATCTGAAAAGCAAATCTGTGCTGATTTATTGCTTCTCCCATGCTACCCTGCGACAGACCTGGTTGTGCGAGCTTGTCCTGGGGGCTAAAGGACACACGGCTGGGGCCCAGCCCTCAGGGAAGGCATGGTTTCCCTCTTCTTTACCCTGCCAGAAAAGCAAGCCTTTGCTAGGAGATTTTCACTCTAGCTGTGTGTTTAGTATGTTGGGCAACAGTTACGCAGGATAAAAATGGCTGCTATTATATTTATCTTAGTTTGCCCTTGGTTTCAGTTGTATCTGCCTGAATTTCATATTAGGCGAGCTGGAATATAATTGCAGGTCCCCCTCCGACCTCTGCTACCCACATGGGTAAGGTGAGCATCCTCCCCGTGCCTCCCTTCCTGTGGCTCCGCTCGGGCTGTTCCCAGGCCAAAAGCTCTGGGCAGATCCCAAATCCGCAAAAATCAAGGGAAGAGTTACAGCCACCCAGAGCAGCCCTTGCACAATGCCCTAACTGCTAAATTAAAGGGACATGCTCAGGCACCTCAGCACTAATAGATATTTTTCCTGCTGGGTTCACCACTGTGCCAGCACCTCACCCCCGCCCTCCCCAAGCCCCAGAAGTGCTATATGCAAGTACAACTCATGTTTTCCTGCTGCTGAAAGCATGCCGGGGTGCACTGGGTGGCACACCCCACGCTTTCGGCGGCATGCTGAAGCCGGGGAGAGCCATACTCACGGGTGTTGAGAGGGCCGTGCTGAGCAGGCACAGACACAGGCACACGAGGGCAGTTTGCATCTTGGGCAGCTCCTGGGGGCACAAAGCGAAGCGTCACTGGAGTTTGTCTTCCCGGCACTTGCGGTCCCCAACAGTCCCAGTCAGCGGCAACCCGAAAGCTCTTGCTGTCCCAAAGGCCCCATGGCAGCAGGGCTATCCAGCAATGCCGGCTTTCCCCAGCCTTTGCGGTGGCCCTTAGCATCTCTCTGCCTCTCGGCGCTCCTCGCAGCAAAGGCGATGCTCTCGCCGTGTGCGTACAGCGGCGAGGCAAGGACACGTGCACGGCCAGCAGCACCGAGTGGGTGCTCTGACACCAGGTGTTAAAGCTTCTTACTTCACTCCGTTAAAGCAGCTTGGGTGGGTATTTGCCATAAATGACCACCAAAACAGCTGCAGGCTAAGCCAGTCATAAATCTGAATTAAGAAACTCGCGTGCTGTTTCCAACAGCACTGATAAATGGCAGGAGACAATAGCTCTGTTGGCTAATAATTCTCATTTCACCCGTCCACCCTGGCTTGGGCTCGCAGGTCCAGCCCGGAGGCTATTTTCAGCCATGCAAGCGTTGCTACAGAAAACATCAGCAGGGAATTCATGCACCAGGATCAGCAGTACAAAGCAGTGTAGGCTCAAGAGAGCGTGATGCAGCGATGCGCACAGCCAAGGCTCGGGCCGTCTCCCCATCCCCACCACAGCTTGCCTAGCGCGAAAGCAGGAGATGCCCTGCTCAGGGAGGGCAGAGCCGAAGGGTTTGGGAGAGGCAGGGCAGGCAAACTAGGTAAGAAGATTACCTTTCGCCGTCAGAGGCAGGTCCCAGCGGCAGACCGTGGAGGCTGTGCCCACTTTGCTGAAATTTAAAGTTGGCCCCGGGCGCGCAGAGCCAATCAGCTCCTGCCCAGGGACATTTGTCAGGACTGACAGTGCCCACAGATAACCAGGGGGAGTAATTTCCAGCTAAAAATGTGTTTGTGGTGGAAGACAGCTATCAAATGTTCCACCTGGCTGGATAAACAGAAAGCACAGTTTATAAATATCTGTTCTGAAGGCGAAATTGCTCGATGATTAGTGCAGATCTTAGCATGGCACATGTCCAGACCAGTTATTGATAAGAGGGGGTGCAGTGGGTCGTAGCATGCTCACCGTGACCGACATGGGAAAGTCAGCACGGCTGCAGAAAGGGAAGGGAAGGGCGATACACTGAGCTCAGACTGGTTGCAGCCATGACCAGCAGCATGGGACAGGGCTGGCTAAGCTGAGAGCCGCTGTCACGCCATAGCCTTTGACAGTTGCTTTTGGGTCTCAACCTCAACCCCCTCTGAGCTAAGCCTGATGCAAGTGCAAAATAGAAGAGTGGAAAAAAAAAAAAATAAAGAAAAAAAAATTTTTTTTAATGCACTGCTTGCACAGGTTCCTTTGAGCCCACCTTGGCTGTGGGAAGGAAGGTGCTACAAGGATGTGCATGATGTACATACTCTCCTCCTGCCCCTCTCTAGCTTTGGTGGTATTGCTGGTCGCCTACGCGTATGCCAAGTGGGGGTTCCCCCTCCTGTGGCCAGCCTGGCTCGGCCACTGACTGCGGTGATGGTGACAACAGCTCCCATCCCACTCGCCACCCTGCCCCGAACCAAACTCTGGGAGCAGGCACGACCACCACATTAATGCCAAAAATGCTTAAACCATCAGCAATCCAGCCTCAGGTGGGAGCAAATCTCAGAGCCAGGAGGAAATTTGCCCTTTCCCTCCAGCCAGGGAGCTGCGGTCAGATGCTACCCCACGGGTACCGGAGGAGCCGGCTGGTGCGCCTTGGCTCAGGGAGGCAGAGCTTTGGCCAGGTGCCTGGGGGGGCTGACGCACACGGGGCCGGGCTGGGCACCCCGTGGGAGTGGGACCCGGCCCCCGGCAGCGCCAAGGCCCTTTGTCCATGCTGGTTCCCTGACGTCTTTGGGCACCCCCTGGGGACGTGGACGACGGTGTCCGCCCCACCAGCCACGAGCATGTGCAGGGCTTCTCAGTGCTGCCACAGGGATTTGGCCCGGGGGGTGCCCACCCTGCAGGCAGCACCCCTTGCTACCCCACCAGCTGCAGAGCAGCTTTGGCACACGGAGGCGGTTTTGTACGGCAGCCAGCAGCTTGCAGCTGCGAGAATAGAAACTCCTTTTGCTGTCGGACTGATATCGGGAGCTGAACACAGGCTTCCTTTCCAGGAGCGTGAGGGCAGTGCGGTACCTGCTGTAACCTGTGCATGAGGGCCGTCACTTTTCCTAAATGGGGGCACCTGCCTGGAACACAGTGGGATTTTGTCCTTCTCCATCCCTGGTGCTGATCCCTGGCTGGCCGGGGCCACGCTCCTGTGGGGACGTGACGCTAGGCAGGGATCCTGGGAATCACGAGGCTGGCATCCCCATCCCTGATGCAGGAGGCAAGCGGACACACCGCTGTCACTGTGACAGCCATACATTGCCCTGGGGACGAGACTGTGTGGCGGGGAGAGATGTGGACCATTTTGGGCTGCAGCACCAGTGTCTGAAACACGCATCTGAGGTGCCCAGCCTTGGTGGACCCACATGCCTGGTGCAGGGGTGCAGAAGCAAAGCTCTCATTACAGGAGTGTGCTCCTACAGCTAGTGATGCACAGAAAGAGAAATTAATGTCTTCATTAATATTGCCTGGTGTGTGGTCAGGCCATAGGAGGCATGCTACCGAGGAGTGGAAGACCTGGTGAAGTTATCGTCACCCACATATTGCAAATTCACATCAACTCTACGTAAGATGTGGCAGTAATCCCACAGTGATGACCCTAAAAATGCTCCTTCCATTTTTCAGAGGGGACTCTACAGAATCTTTCCTAGTTAGCCTTTCTGTTCCTCCCTCTTTTTGTGTGCAGCTGAGCTGGAATAAAGAGATTTAACCCTGAGCAGCATGAGCACCTGTAGCCCCACAGCCCACCAAGCGCCGAGCTGCCCCGCTGACCCCAGCAAATTCGGCAGCAAACCCTTTGTCACCAGCGAGCTCAGTTCGGTTGCTTTATTTCATTTCGCTTTGCGAGATACAAAAAGAAGCCTGGGCCGAGCCAGCGGGCACCGCAAGCTGCCCGGTGTCCCTCTGGCGCGTGGCGGCTGCGGGTGAGCCTTCGGATGCACGTTCCTGAGTGGGATGGAGCAGGCGGGCGGCAGCACTGGGGCCATCCCCCCGCCCGCTCACTGACTGTAGTAGTAATCCTGGCCGTACACGTCATAGCCATGCCCCTTGTAGTAGCCGTACTCATCCTCGTAGGCCCGGTAGCTGTCCCCGCGGGCGTACTCCTCCTGCTCCCCGTAGCTGCCGTCGGTGGTGCCCTCGTCCCCCCGGCCGTGGGCCCCGGCCGTCACCTCGTACTCCCACTGCTCCCCGGCTGTGGTGGTGTCCGTGGGTCCCCCATCTCCCGTGGGGGTTGCCTGGGACAGCCCATCTTCGCCAGTGGTGCTGGCGACAGTGGTGGCTTCAGTTTCCTCCTCCTCCTCTTCCTCTTCTTCTTCTTCCTCCTCCTCTTCCTCCTCCTCCTCAGCTGCGCCTGTGCCCTCCTCAGCCACTGCGGTACCACTGCCGTGAGGCCCATCTGCGCCCTCGGTGGTGTTGGTGCTTGTGCCGTTGACGCCATTCTCGTTCTCTGCTACCTCTTCTTCCCCTTCCTCCTCCTCCTCCTCCTCCTCATTCTCATCACTGTCTTCATTTTCGGAGTCGCCCCCCTTGCCAGCAGCGCTGTTCCTGCCCCCTTGGCAGCTCTTGCCCTGGTATGAGGAAAATAACACAGCATTAGTTGGGTGTTGAGAGGTTGCAGCTTTTCAGTGCCGTGTGGCATGGGGCAGGCATGGGCACAGCTGACCATCCACCCCACACCTTGCATGGCA